AAACAAACACTTTATATGCCTGCAGAGATTAATATCTCAATAAATTTTTAAAAATATGCCACAACAAATAAAAATATATTAAAAAATATATTTTTTTAAATTGTCTATGTAAACGTTAAAGCAAAAGTTGAACTTTAATTACTTTTTCCATCGCCTTAAAGTATGCTTCAATTATTTACGATTTAATTTCTAGCAAACAGTTTACTTTGCACAATATTCTGTTTCTTCTATTCTATTTTCTTCTTAATTTGGAAATGAAAGGAAAGTAGGCTCTCACGACGTCTATTTTTTTTTTTAGATAACACACCAAATTTCAATTATTGTCAAATGGTGTGGCGGCAGTTGCCAGCTGTCAGCATTTATGGGCCGCTTTCGTAGTATTTTTATTTTTTTGCAACTTGGAGAAACACTAATTTATGTATATATTTAATTAAAGGAAAAAAGAAAAGAAATTAAAAACATAAAGCATATTTTATTAATATATTTTTTTCAACCGTGGAATCTTACCTTTCATCCACAAAATTTGTGCGTTTGTGCGCTTTAATCTCTAAAATATGTAATTCCCATTAATATTCCTCTTTGTTAAGGATTATTACTGCCCATAATCGCAGCCACTAAATGCCAAGCACAGCAATAACAAAATCAACAACGTAAACGATATATCAACCAATAAACTGCTAACAATTTTCCTTTCGTTTCCTTAGATTTTGGGCCTTGAGCACCTAAAAGCATGCACCAAATTGAAAAGTACTTTTTTTGGGTTTTGTATGACGACGTGTATTTCGTATTTTGTATTTCGTATTTTTTGTGTCTAAAATTTTGTATTGTGAATCAAAATGAATTGTATTAAGAATCTCACAATATCAAAATTCGTACTTTCTTTTCCTTTTTTTTTTGTTGTATATATTTGTTCGCTCCTAAAAATTGGCAACAATTTCGTTTTCTTGGTTAAACACAAATAAAATTTTTATTTATTTTTTTTATTCACTGCCTTTTTTACTTTCGCTACTTAAATGACTTCTCTTTGCGCTTTTGTAGTTTTCCCGTTTGTGTGCTTTGCTTGGGTTTTATGGCTTTAATGCTCATATGCCCACTCCTTAGAGGATTGTTGTGTCTTGGTGTCTTGCAGCAGAAGCTGTTCCGGCATGTGTCAGAATTACGCTCTTAGTAAAGTTTTTTCTTTTTTTTTGCACAATTTGCTGATTGTGTCGAAATTGTTTAAAGTAAAATAAGTTTAAGTGCACCAATAATTGAGATATTGACGCTTTGTGAAGTGCTGACAGTAAATTTATTTTTCGGTTTTTATCAAATTTAAACTGTCACCAGTTTTATTAAGTTTAACTTCATATTTCACATTTCTTGTATGCATATGTTAAATACAAGTTTGTTTGATAGTACTGTATTTTGTATTCTAATTTTAGTGTCCACCATATTCGGTTCCAACTATCCTGAATGCACTAGTAACAAACTCACAGACACAAACATACCATTATGTACTTTGATTCCATAAGAATTGAAAAGTTTTCGCAGAAACTCATTTCAGCTCTGCGAGCAAAGCCCTACAATATGAAATAGAGAAAGAAGAGAGAAAGGTGAACGAGTTTGCTTGGATGAGTCCAAGTCTTGGATGAGGACAAATAATAACAGATTAATGGCTTGAAAGACTTAAACCCTACGCCAAGAAACAAAAAGTCTTTTACGTCACTCACCATTTAGTTCGGAAATTGTAGGAGATTTCCCATTTTACTTAAGCATGTTAATATATATAACTGAAATGTCTTCTTGACTTGGTTTAAAGAAATTTAATAATAAAAGTTTTTGAAATTTAATTTTCCCATAATAGTACTCGTATTCTTTACATATGCGCCATCTATGTGTCATTTTAGGAAGTTCTAAAGGCATAAATTTATAAAATATATTAAAATAATTTTTCCTGATTCTCTTTTATTTTGTATTTCTTAGAATGTAGCAGGGTTTTTAAAACTCATGAGACAAAGTTTATTGTATGACTTCTCAAATTTCTATATATGCAGCGAAAGTGTTAAAATAAAATTGTAACTCCGAAACTCGGAGTATATAAGCATTTGCACCGATCATAGCATACACATTTTAAATTAACCACCAGTTAAAGCCTTGATCAGCAAAAGCGTATGTTTTCATATTCTCCGGAATCAAAAAATCTTTGTTTAAAATGGCATAATAGCTACTTGGTCAAATCGCACAGGGTCCAAACAAGTGTTTTTCAACATGAGGTGTTCGCTCCACAGGTAATATAAGATAAATTAATATAAATATTCGAGTGACCTGCTTGACTTTTCTAACGTTCCTTGGACATGTTACATTGAAGTGACGTTGGAATTATTGAAAACCCTAAGTGGGGCATACCACAAAGAAGGTTAAGAAATGCTGGTCTAAACTTATATCCTGAGTGCAGAATACATTTAAAATTGAATATTATGTCTTAAATAAATTCTATATCTTTTACTTGTCCTGAATTTTTCATTTATCGCATAAGTTTTGAGTTCCAAATGGTATTCCAATAATTTATGTTCTTTGATTTATGTATAATGTCATAAATATTCTCTTGGTTATCACATAGTATATCATGGATAAAGCGATTGATAAGATAACTGAGCAGCAAATCGCTACGCCCATAAGTTTCAAAAAGTTAAAGAACCGTGAAGAAACCTCGAATGTTTGTCGTCGAAACGCGGGTACTAATAAATGTGTGTCTCTTGCTGATTTAAGATAATATTTTCTCTGTAGATACTTGAACATAAATATAGTAACATATATATATACATATATATTAAAAAGAAAACTACACTTGTTATACTTTCGCTTTTGCACTGTAATTGCTGTAGTTACAATTCACTTTGTTGTTCAAACAACATTTTCACTTTTATTTGTTTGCATTGATAGTTCATTGATACGTTTGACCATGTCTAGTCCCATTCTATTCAAAACTATCTAAAAATGTAAAATAATACGAAAATGCATTAGAACGATTCATCACATCGTACTTTCACTACATGCCCTCCTAGAACAATACATGCCTTTCACGTATCTAATTGCCATTTAAAGTTCAACAAACTTTGCTCTGAAGCTTTTGCAAATCCTTTTCGTAGTCCATAAACGAAAGCTCTTGACTATAGCTCATTTTTTTATTTTTATTCACAGATATTTTTCCCACCAAAAACTGCTTATAATTCCCAACCATTTCCTAAGCAACTAATGACAAATTTCTCATGCCCGTCAGATGTCATCGTTTCGTTCATAATTCGACTCTAGCCTTTGTCTCACTCCTAACAGTGAGACAAATGTTGCAAGGAGTTGTCCGTTATCCTGCTGGTATTACTGCTGCTCTGTTGGTATTGTGTGCTACTGCACTGCCGCAGCCATTGAATTTTTTTATATGTTCTTTGACTTCCGGTTTCTTTCAATCGTTCCTGTAATTTTTTATTGTTGCTGGAATATTTTACATTTTCATAATCATGTCCTGGCAGAAGCTAACTGCCAGCCAACAAGTTCGACTCCGTTAGTTTTGAATTCTATGTTCCAATTTGATTTATTGTTGTCCTTGCTTACCCCTCCTTGCCGCTAAGATGAGCTCCTTATGACAACATATTTAGTGGACTTCTATGGATTTTCTCAAAAACTTGACTTTTTTTACTACTTGCTTTGTTATTATGTTTGGTAAGTTGTTATTTCTGCTTTCTTTCCCATTGTCCTTTAAAATATCTGTTTTGCTTATTTTTGCATAATTTAGTATGGAATTAGAATATTTCTAGGGATCAGTATCAGTAAGTATGTCGATTTAATTTTGCTGTTGTTGGTGTTGTTATTGTAATCGTTTAAATAGGATTTCGGAATAGCGAATTTTACGCAGAATTTAATAATTCAGAACTGTGAATAAAGAAGAGGGCCAAGATACATTTTTTATGAATAGGATTTAAAAAACAAAAACAAATTTATATATGTTTTATGTGGAGTATATCTTTAAGAATTAACAGGTTTTTTTCTGAATCAACAAAAAGCCTCATTATACCAAAGTTATATACAAGATTATTGTTAATTATTATTAATTATTATTATTAATGGAAGAGTAGTTATAATTAGAGCCATGATTACTAATAATATTAAAATCGAACTAATGTGTATTAAAAGTATATATATAGAGCTTAGAATTAATCGAGCTATATATGTTTTATATGCGTATATCTTTAAGAATTAACAGGTTTTTTTTTAATTAACAGAAAGCCACATTATTCCAAAGTTGTATATAAGATTATTGTTAATTATTATTAATTATTATTAATGCAAGAGTAGTTATAATTAGAGCCATTAAAATCGAACTAATGTATATTAAGAGTATATGTATAGAGCTCAGAATTAATCGAGCTATATATAAGCATTTCATAATTCTAATTAAATTTATTAGATAATATTATTTTAAGTTTTCATAAGAAATACTTATTTAATTTACAAATTAAATATTAAAATCGATCCAAAACACAAGTAAAATAAAAGTTTCCTTATATATATATACATATACATATATATATAATTTGTCCATGTTGCAAATATTTTCGTTTTAGCTTAATTTTTTTACAATAATTTATAATAAATCATGAGATTCATGGATCCATAATGTGCTTTATATTTCAGTATACTTAAATCAATATTCTACTGGATATTTGCCCTTTTTTATACAATAAAAACAATTTTAATAAGTTCAATATTTTACAAAGTTGATTTTCAAATTGTATCAATCATTTAATTGCGACTAGTTTAGTAGCATCCATTTTAATTAATCGTCATACTGTCAAATCATATCATATCATATCATATCATATTGTCTTAATTAAATATATAGATTTTTCATTTCACTTTCATATTCTTCTTTCATTCATTGAAAATCATCCTCACAATATATAATTAAATCAAAGTTTTTATAATCGCTAATATATATTTTTTTTTATGTATATTTTCCTATATAGGATGGTTCTTCTACTAAAGTTGAACCTATGTACATTGACGAAAATTCCGCAGACCAAGAAGACTTGTCACCGCTTGGTTTATCCCCGGAGATAAGTAAACCTTTGCACTGCGTAACTAACATAGCATCAATACTACGCAATTATCGTCATAATCCAATGATAGGTGGACCAGGTGTGCTACCTTCGCCCATATTCGCACAGAACGATGATTCAAATCCACCTGGCTTAACAGCCTGTGACACGGACTCCGCTAGCGATAGTGGCATTGATGACGTCAGCTTTAGCGAAAGCGGGTCTCCACTAAAAATTCAAGTAGACAAGAGTGAAGAGCATAACACTAATTATGAAAATTATACAACTCATCAAATGGATCCGAAACAAAAGGACATGTTACTAATGAAATGCATGAAAACGAATTTAATTAGAAGTCCAGCAGCTACACCACCACCGTACAGTGTGAATAGTGCACCACCGCCTTTACCACCACCTCAGGCTAGTCAAATTCTAAACGAACGTGCTAGTGCTAACATCGATACAAATCTGGATTCAGATATTAGTAGCTGCGTCCAAAGTCGCAAAAACTCGATATCCAGTCTTCTAGATGACGCTAACAATCCGTTAAATACGCCGTTTTTAATGGAGTTGGGCAACGACGATTACAATATGACCACCGAGCCATATCTGGAGACAAATGATATTGAGCATGTACTAAACGAATGGACGCACGAAATGGCCTAGTACGAAATGAAACTGAAGGCGAAGCGAAAAATGAAATACGAAAAAAGAAATGCAAAACGCCTGTAACTAATGAACATTTCCTTTAACCAATTTAACTTTATAGATCCTTCTGAATAATCCTGGAATACAAAGCTACACACATATGCACACACACACACATGTGGATATATATTAGAATAGAAGAATAAAAACGAATGGGCGGACTCAATCGTACCCAAACTCAAACACACTGACACACTAGTTACACAATTTGAACGAACGAATGCGTTAAGTTTAGTTTTTAAATTAAAAAAATTTTTTTTTTCAATTTAGTTTATAAGTAAAATTGTTTTTGGAATAAACTCAGCATTTATTTATGTTGCATTTATAACATTAATTTATAAAGTAGGTATATTGAGCATCAAGACAATATTTCTAACAGTTATGACAGTTTTGAAATATGGTGGAAACGATATTCTTAACGATGTTATCTTAAAAACATAGAAATATAAAGGCATGCATTTTGCTTCTACTAAAAAAATCATAAATTTTATGTTTTATTTGGTTACTCAATATTTCTAACAGTTATGACAGTTTTGAAATATGGTGGTAACGATATTGTTAACGACTTTATCTTAAAAACATAGAAATATAAAAGCATGCATTTTGCTTGTATTAAAAAAAATCCATAAATTCTATGCTTTTTTTTTGGTTACCCATTAGTGTTGAATTTCTCTTAAATGAAAATTAATTTGATTTATTTCTTACTTTAAACGTAAATAAATGCTGAAATATAGTAAAAACTTTTATAAAAATTCAAAATTCGAAAAAATCAAAAAAAAAAAATATTCGTGTTAGCTTAGTAAGTAAACAATTTTTACTGCCTAAAACAGAAGAAATACGTTAAGATTTAGAAATAAAATTTTTAATAAAAAACTAACCATAAAAAAAAATTATTTAAAAAAAATATCATAGTTTTCAGAAAAAATATTGTAATAAATAATATTTAACAAAATTTATTTATATAAATACATTTTTGAACGAAAGTAATTTGGTGAAGGCTTAGTTTTGCATTAAAAATCAAAAAATCAAATCAATTAAAATGAAAAAAATTTAAATTTTTTATAAATGAAAACTATGATTTAAGAAATTTTTTAAAAAAAAAAAAATTATATATATAAAAATACTTTAAAATATAATTGAGGTACATTTTTAAAAAGCAATTTTCTTTATAAATTTTTGATTATTTACAACTTGAAAACAAATTAATTTTAAATTTAATAATTTTAATTTTAGTTAAAATAATTTTTTCATTTTATAATTACTAGAAAATCAGTAATTATTAAAAAAATAAAGAGAAAAGTGTAACAACATAAATATACGACAAAAAACCTTTTTTGTTTTCTAAAAATAAATTTATTTTACACTAAAACGATTCCATTAAATAATTATTGTCAAGTAGTAAAAAAAAAAACAAAAATATCCTTTTTTCAAAATTTCAAAATAATGATGATGTCCTTTATGAAAGATCAATTTCAAACATAAATCAAACTTAATTAAAATTGTAATAACTTGTAATAAATATATATGAATTGCTTTATAAAACTATAAACTGTAAAATACTAGTAAAATAGTATCTGGAAATAAGTATCTACAATTAGTAGTCGTTTTCTAAAAATTTATTCATAAGTTGATGTGTTGGGCACCTGCAATTAAGCACTTTACGACTATCTAATGTTTCATGCAAATTTCAATTTATTTTTGTATTATTTTTGTTTCTTTGGAATTGTTTATTAATACTTTTTATTTTAAAAGTTAGATTCTAATTATATATCTATATACATATGTAAATTTAATTAATTATTTTACAACGTTCATTTCTTCTGTTTTAATTAATATAAAAAATTTATGTAATATCCGCATACAGGCATATTTCATTCTATGTTTATGATGTTCTTTAGTCTTGTCTATGTTTGTGAAAAGTTGATTTGACAAATTTATTAAATAAACAATAAGTGAATATTAATTCCGAGTATCTTTAATTTATTTGATTGAATCGGTAAGCATAGTTATTATATATAACTCTATATAAACATCTTTAAGAACTTATAAATAAAACAATGTCCTCATTTAAAAACTATTAGAAAAAACTATTACCTTTTACAGTAAGAACCCTTTCAGCGCAATTAATTTTCATTAATCAATTCAAACAAAAAATAAATTTCATGAAAAATTTAGATATTATTGAATGTTTCTGATATTTTGACCATAACTAGATAATCTACAACCTTCCAGCTTATTTTTTGAAAAGCTTTTCATTGGTAATTCATCACCGCGTTATCGAATTTCAGAATGGTTACAGGTTCCTCGGGGAGGCATGCAGATCTGAGGTCAATTATTGCGTAGTCTGATGAAGTGATAAACAATAATCCAGTAAAGGCGTAGAGACGGGTTATGAAGAAATCACGCAGCTAATAGGTACTGACTAAGTGTACTGACTCAATTAGCTTCAACATAATAAGAAGGAAATATTCAATAATGCACAGTTTATTTCGATGTTCTGAATGTGTTCCTTAAGTAATCTGTTTGACCAGCTTATCCAATGCTATCTGTGTGATCGGTAACCTAAAGAAGAGAAATGTTTAACCACGTTGGCATCTCAAATACAGTTACGTTTCAGCTTAAAACTGTCAAAGATAAAATATTATACCAAACTCAAGATCTTTAAAGCATATATACATTCCAATTCAATATATTATCCACTTCAAGGGAAACCAAAGCAATAATTTCCGCTTAAAAGAGTCTACAATGATGAAGAAGTCTATTATATTTGTTTATATCTAGTTTCGAGAATAAAACTTCACTATCTATCTATCCCATTACCTGGCGACTTTATACTTCCCTAATACTCGTGGGATATCATATGGATACGTCTAATGAACAAACTAAAGGGGATGATGCTACCCTTATCGCATCAAACACTACTGCTGTCGGGCAGGGAATTAACAACGACCAGTCGACTGTTGTGTCACAGGTCAGTGAACCTTTTGCAGATGGTGCTGTTGGGCACATCTGCAAAAATATACACGCTGTGGAAAATATTGTTTTTCCACAGTATACTGATGCTAGCAGCACAGAAACTGAAGGGTCTGATGCTGCCTCTATTGACATTGACGGAGTCAGTCTCTGTTCTCAACAGTCAGGTGCTACTGTTGTCAATGTTTGTATGAAAGGGATCAGTTTACATGACCAGAAGGGTTTTGTGAAACTGAACTCAATGCAGAAGAGGAGGTTAAAGGCTTACATGAGTCAGGGACACTCTAGGGATGTGGCCCTAGACATGGTTTCTAAACTTCCAACTCGTGCGCCAGCTAAAAGGGCTTTATCTGACGACATGGTCATGCCAGCTGGTAAGAAACCAAAACAAAACACCTCGATTCAGGGATCGAGTAAACCCTCTTTCAGCCAAGTAGCCAGTCAGGCCAAGGGGATCAAATTAGGATTTGTTCCTTTTGATTTGGCTAAGTGCCCCCTAAACAGGGAACAGACTGCACAGCTACAGGAGGCTATAATTGAGACTGCCATAGAGTTGGCGTCTGACGAGGTTAAACCAGAATTTGAAGGTTGTTTCCCTCGTACGGGATGGCTCATGATGGTGTGCACAAATAACCAAACGGCTGAATGGGTCCGTAAAAATGCGACAGCTATTGCAACAAAGGCTAAACTGGGCGCCAAAGTGGTTGAAGAGTCGGAGTTTCCAAAAACACATCTGGTGCGAGGATACTTCCCACACAGTTGCGATTTTGAAAATACCAAGGTTCTTGCCACAATTGAGGCCCAGAACAGGATTAAAGCAAGCACCTGGAAGGTATTACAGCGGACCGCAGAAGGTTCACTGCTCCACATCGTCTTTGCTGTCGACGATGCATCCTGGAACTCACTGGTCCAGAGTGGAGGTAGAATTGCATATCGCTTCAGCCATGTCAAGCTACTGCTTAAAACTAACAGTATGACAAAGGAGGGGCAGCCAGAACAACGGCCTGTGGAACAAAAGGTTCCAAATAAACTCCAGATCACAAGGACGGAGAAACAGAAAGTGGAGCACGTGGTCCCACAATCAACACTTACGTCTATTGTGAATCCAAATGAGGCCCCAACTACTAGTAGAGCCGCCATTCAAAAAAGGCTTTGGATGCGGCCACCTGTGGGTGGAGCATCAACAGCTCCAAAAGAGCGCCAGAAGGAAAAAGGGCCACGAAGAGCTCGACTTCAAAAGGAAGTCGAACGCTCTCTCAATAAAACTCAACAAAAATGAGCACCATAGGGGTGTTACAGGCGAACCTGCACCACGCGAAAGGAGCATCGGCTACCTTGTGCAGGACCTTCGCCACAAAAGGACTGGCCATAGCGCTTATCCAGGAGCCATGGACAGTCGGTGGGCATATAAAAGGCCTTCAACATCAATCAAGTAAGTTGATATATAAACGTGACATAGAGTCGCCTAGAACTGCTATACTAGTAAACAAAAATGTTAACTGTATTCCAATTCCAGATTTCATCCAGAGGGAATTGGTGTCGGCCATTTTTGAGATCCCGACGGAGTGCGGAACACGAGAGATCGTGATCGCATCGGCCTACTTTCCAGGCGATGCAGATGAAGCACCACCTGAAGCAGTCACAAACTTGGTAAGTTATTGCAAATCCAATAATTTACAATTTATAATTGGTTGCGACGCAAACGCGCACCATACCTTATGGGGTAGTACTAACATAAATGGAAGAGGGCAAATGCTTTTAGAATACTTTAGTAGTAATAACGTCAGCATATTGAATAATGGTTCTGAACCCACTTTTATTAATGCCATTAGAAGAGAGGTTCTTGACCTTACTCTTTCTAGTCAATTTATCTCCAATTATGTTGTTAATTGGAGGGTCTCAAAGGAGGTTTCTTTATCTGACCACCAACATATTCTTTTTGAACTGCCGGGTCACTTTTTACATAAAAATTTGCCAGCTGCACG